GCAGAATTTAAAATTACAAGTTATGATAAATCTGCAAATCTGGTGACTGCTAATACAATTACAAAAAATGTTCATAACTTTACATCCATTAATCTAATTATAATAAAATTTTATATGCATATATTTTTGAACTTTCTGAATAACTTTACTTACATAACCAAAGTTGATTTCCTTTGACCAAAATACTTAAATTGCTCTTTGAAGTCACTGTACAAATAAAAATAAATATAAAAAAATCTATAAGATAATATAATTACAAAAAATGTACATAACTTTACAAGTATTTATCTAATAATAATAAGATTTTATATGCACATATTTTCGAATCTACTGAATAATCTCACTTATGTGACTAAAGTTGATTTCCTTTGACCAAAATACTAAAATTGCTCTTTGAATTCTCTGTACAGATAAAAAATAAAAATAAAAAATTCATGAAATAATACAATTACGAAAACATGCATAACTTTACAACTATTAATCCAATTATAATAAAATTTTATATACACATATTTTCAAATCTGCTGAATAACTTTACTTGTGCGACTAAAGTTAATTTCCTTTGATAATAATACTTAAATTGCTCTTTGAAGTCACTATATGAATAAAAAATAAAAATAAAAATATTTGTGAGATAATATAAATACGAAAAAATGTACATAACTTTACAACCATTAATCTAATCATAATAAATCTTTATATGCACATATTTTTGAACCCACTGAATAACTTTACTTATGTGACCAAAGTTGTTCAGCGGGTTCAAAAATATGTACATATAAAATTTTATTATGATTGAATTAATGGTTGTAAAGTTATAAACGTTTTTTGTAATTGTATTAGTAGTCACCAGATTTGCAGAATTATCACAACTTGTAATTTTAAATTCTGCAGTTAAAATAATTATATTAGTATCTTTTTTTTTTGAAAAATAACCAAATGTAAAAATGTATCAATATTTTTTTATATTTTTTTAAAAAAATATTAAACAAAATTATAATTATTTAGTTTTCTTTTTTAGACAGGTCAGATCAGATTATGTCGGGTCAAATGTATATTTAATTTATGTCAATTTTAAGTCTGATCTGACCTGATCTTATTAGGTTGGATCAAGTCAATTACCTGATCTGACCTGACCTGTTCAGAGCTTTAATCTTAGCTAAAGATTTTCTAAATAGAAATGAGAACAGCAGTCAGTATTTTTATATTCATCAAGTATAAAGTATCATACTTATATTTTATTTGATTTAATAGTAATATGAGAATTTTTTATCATTTTTTTTAGAATGATCAGCTCCACAATCCCATAACTTTTTTCATAATAAGGTAAGTTAAAAATTTCATGTGATTGGATTAAGTGCGAAACTGATTAAGTCATATAAAATATATAAAATTTGTTTTATTTTTTCAGATAGATAGTTATTATCCATAATTTCTTGTGCAGTTTTATTAATAGTATACCTACTTTTTTCATACTTTTTAGAAGGTCAAATAGGAATAAAAACTTCTGTTTATTCCTTAGTAATAAAGATGTTTTCCTAAAATATTTTTAGAAAATTTGAGTTTCAAGATATTTGAGATAAAACTATTTATTTATAATAAATATCTTTACCTAAACTTTTAATAGATTTTCCTAAATTCAATTAAGTTTTATCAAGTTTCAATTTTAAAAAAAAAGTCACTTTAAAGTTTTCAAAATAGTTTTTTAATTTTTAAGCTACATTTAAAATAGGTTTTGAATAGTATCATTACTTAATAAGCTTCAATTGCTAGAAACATGTTCTGACATCAAATCTTCCTTTATAATTCAATAATCTTTTACTAATTTCCTCTGTGTATTTAGTTATCTCTAATATTAGAGTCTTAGAAGACTATTTATGATGTTTCATGAGATCTGTAATAACTTTTGAAATTGTAATCCAAGTGATCTTTAAGAATTAAAAAATATGGTACAGTAAAGTGATCTGCAAAATAATCAATATATGGATTGATCTACAGAATCAATAACACAATGATCTACACAAGTGATCTGTAAAATTAATCAGATCAGTTAATGAAGAAATGAAATAATAGATCATTAGCCTATGATGACATGTATAACTTTCTAAATTAGAAACTCCAAAAGAAAACTTCAAAAAGAAACTAGTTAAAGACTAAGTATAAGAATGTAGTAACAATTTAAAAATAATATAATTATATTCTCTATATCTCTTCAAATATATATATTATATAATTATAGGACTATTGCATAACGATTAGGTAGTCATTATTTAATTATTATAACAGAATTATATAAAGAAAGATGAGGGAATCATTATATAGTTTTATGTAATAGATAATAATTTAGTGTAGAAATTTTATTATAAATAAGCTGAGTTTTTCATTATATATTGTTAGAAATTTAGGAAGATAAACTTAGAAATTGAAGAAGTTAATTTTATAAGTTAATAAAACTCTTTGCTAAATTGTTTTAACAAAACAAATCACTTGTGTCAACCATATTTTATATTAATCTTATTTTGTATCAACTGTGTTTAACATTACTGATTTATTTGTATTAATAAATCTCTTAGTATCAAACAATTGCTTTGTGTCAACAACTGTGTTTTGAGTTATTAATGAGTTAAAGTATTAATATTATGAAATACTTTAAGCTACGTATTAATAATTTACATCTATTATAACATCATCAAGGTAATTTCTCTAATATTAAAGGAAATTATGAGCTACACACTATAAATTGAAAGTCTTCATACTTGCCAATTCAGAAACTTAATCATAAAAGTACATCAACGTCAATCAAAGTTCAATATAATTAAAGTCTTTTCTAAAGATTGAATTAAATCTTACTGCTACTTAATTGATTACGTGTTTTCAGTCTATCTAATTAATAGTTAGGTAACAACATGTTGTTTTTCAATTACAATATAGTTAAGTATACTAAAATGCATTAATCTTATATTACACATAAAATTTCAATTTGAAAAAAAATCTCTCAATCAGAGATTTCATAATATGCTTTAACTTTATTAGTGAAGAAAAAGGACTCTAGCTTTACATAACTTTAATCGAAAGCGTTAGAGCAAAGGAATTTTAAATATCTATAATAAAAGTAAAGATAAAGTTTAATATCAAAATTACCTTGTATGAATCATCTATCCTGCTGATATATTAAGAAAAATGGTTCAATTTATAAGAAAGAATACTAACATACTTTAGGATATGCCAAATATTATAAAGCCTATTATAAAGAAATATGCTATATCTGTAATAAGTTAACTAATTATACCTGATAAATTACATAATGAAATTGACAAAACTGAAATGAAGAAACTAGTTTTTTATTAATAATGAAACTATTTTACTTAATTGCTGAAATTATGTTTAAATTAATTTGAATTCTTTGAATTAATATACACTGGCCTACAATAAATTACCGGATTTTTTTACTATATATAGAAATTTATATAAAATTTATTTTTTTTTTATGATTATAAAAAAAAATTTTTTTTAGACTATTCATTATTTAAATTTTCAAAATTATTGAATTAATATTTAGTGTGCTCACCCTTAGCTTTAATTATTACATTAACACGATTAGGTAAGCTCAAAATTAAGCGGTGTAACATTTCTAAACTAATTTTTTCACATTCCTCCTTAACAGCATTTATTAACTCTTGTTTTGTTTTAGGTAAAGGCTTTCTTTTTTGAACTTTATAATCCAAATAATTCCACAAGTTCTCAATTGGATTTAAATCTGGACTTTGCGCTACCCAATCTAAAATCGGAATATCATGAGTTGACATCCACCAAGTACTATAATAAGATGTATGACAAGATGCTTTATCTTGTTGGAATACAGCATTAGAATAATTACTAACCTAAGGTATAAAATAATTAGCAAGAACATTAACATAATCATCAGAATTCATATTTCTTTCTACTACAACCAAAGGTCCAACTTCATGCCAACCAAAACAACCCAAAAACATCACTGATTCTCCACCAAATTTAACTGTAGGTTGGATACAATCCTTTTTGTAAGCTTCTCCAGGACATCTCCAAACTCTTACGTGACCATCTGATTCAAAAGAGCAAATCTTGACTCATCTGACCATACGATTTGTTTTCATTCTTCATTCCAGTAATGTTTTTCCTTACACCATTTAAATCTATTTTTTTGTTGTTTTTCAGTTAAAAGAGGTTTTTTGCACGTAGCATAACTACTAAAACCTTCATCATGAAGGTATTTTCTAACAATATTATAGTGCAAAGTAGTGTTAAGCCTAGAATTTAACTTATCCGTGATATTACCAAGAGGAGCAAACTGATTATCACGAACAATTCATTGTAAGACCCGATTATCACGTTAAGTAAAAATATTAGGGCGTCCAGGACGTTTCTCAGATTTTGCATAACCCGTTTCTTTATATTTTTTAATAGTATCGCATACTGTACTAGAAGAAATATTTAGTTGAGCTGAAATAACTTTTTGTCTGATGCCACTAAGATATGCACCAATAATTCTTTCACGCTGTATACTTAACATCTCGTTTTCTCGTATTATGATACTAGAAGAGAAGTATAAAATATTTTATTTTTGAAAAAAATTTTTTTTTATATAACAATGGGGAAAAAATGCCTATTGTGAAACCGATATGCTGATTCACGTGACTAAAATCTGGTAATTTATTGTAGGCCAGTGTATATTAAAAAATATAATAATTTTATATTTATTTATATAAAAATATTAAAGAGATAAATCCTTTTAATAAAACTATAATTTTCAAAAAAAGAGTTTAGGTAAATATCACTAGAGCTAACTAATTTTCATATTAGAATCTGTAATAAATATAATACATATAGTAGAATTTATAATCATATCTGATATAAAAGACTGGATTACACTCTTATAAGAGTGTAATCCAGTTGCATTAGACTGTTACCTAGTTACCGTTAGACTGTTACCTCATTACTGTTTTTAGTGCTTTGTAGCCTTTTTATTGTCTTGTAGCTATCTGCTTATTTTTATTGTTCTGTAGTCTTTTTATTGCCTTATAGATATTTGTTTGATTTTATTGCTTTATCCTCTTTTTATTATCAAGGAACTATTCATGTGTTTGCAATGTTTTGCGCTCTTTTTATTTCTAAAGAGCTATTTGCTTGTTTTTCCGCTTCTGGGCCTGTTTGGTAGCCTGTTAAGATATTGAGGATGCTTCTTTTTTTGCATCTATTTGGTTGCTCTTTAAAATATTGAAATAGTGTAAAAAAAGAGGTGACAGATGATGCAGTAAATTTGCGATTAATTTTGGCTGGCTCTATGGTATAACTCTGGTCGATTCTTTGGGCATGTGATTTGAGGATCTAATTTGATGTCGTGATATCATCATGATAATGTCCTGGTAGTGTCATAGAACTCTTCTGGAACTGTTATGGAACTGGCAGGGAACTAAAGAGTTTCTATTAGTTCGCCAGTTTTATGCTAGCTTGGGTGTCAAAATATTACATCCAAAGTTCTGGCTGAATTGTGGAATAGTGTTGGCTGAAAATAAGCAAATTAATACTGCGTCTTATTGTGTTATAGTTACATAATACTGTTCTGGTGCCAGAATACTCTCACATAGTTGCTTTCCTCTCAATTGCTATTTCTTGATTGCCGGATGAGATACAAAGTGCCAAATTTGCAATCCATCTATTTGCTAAAGATGTGTTTTACCATTCTTACAATCCTATCTTTTATAGCCTGTTTGATTGCCAAGGATGAGACACGAAGTGCTAAATTGGTTCAGAATTTACATCTTTCATACCTTTTTTTGTGTATTCTTTTGAGTCTTTCCACCTTCCTGACCTCTTTTCTGCCTATTGTCGGCAGCCTCCAAAAGCAGAATTTCTTATTTTCTATATATAATTCTACCTTTAGGGTTACCAAATCTATATCTTGCTTTGCTTCCCTGCTTTTCTAGAACTCTTTCTCCTATAGTTGCTACTTCTAAGGTACTTCTATGTATGATTACTTTGGGTTATTATTGTATCGATTACTTTTGGATACTATCACTAACCCAGTATTTTGCCAGCAAGCGTATTCGCTTAAAATTACTATTTTGAAGATTTGGTATTTTCTATATAATTTTATATTAACTTCCTTTACATACCTATCATGCTACTTGCACAAAAAAAATTTGAACCTAATCTTGAAGAAATAAATGAAGCAATAAGACTCTTTTCAAGTGTAGCAGACCTTGATTTTGAGCTGGGCTATAATGATCATGTGTATTTCCAATATTTGTCTAATAGTCAAGATGTTATCGCTCTTCTAGATGCCTATCATCCTAAAGAGATTTTTGATAAATATATTATTCAGATGACAGATAAGGGCTTTACAGTTGTAGATCACCCATCCAAAGTTTATAGCTTACCCAATTCTCATAAATGTATTGATGATAACCTGCCTCTTCGTCTTGTTCTGGATATTGATGTGAGGCAGAAGCCCGATCCCACTTCCGTTAAAAGTACTGGAGATATTTATCTTTTTTGCTTATGTAATACTAGTAGCTAAGTTTAATTCTACTTCTGAACTAGCAATCTGGATTTGCATATATTCAGATCGATTCTTTTACGCCTATAAAATGCAATATTATAACAGAACTGATACTAAAGCTTTAGCCTATGCCTAGAAACGTGAAGAAAGGTGCTTAGCTAAAGTTAGTAGTAATTCTAACATTTATTTATGGATATGTAAAAGGGGCCATCAATGGGAGGTGCTATATAAAAATATGAAACAGAATCATAGATGATGTAATATTTACCCCAATGTACCAGAAAGAATATGCCGGTATATATTCGAAAATTTATTAAATAAAAAATTTTCCTCCGAAAACCTAAGTTTTTGGAGGGATTACATCTAGATAGATATAATAAAGAGCTAGGCTTGGCTTTCAAATATAGTGGAAACCAATATTACCAAATCATGCTTTTCTTTCACCCGCAAAGGCAAATGAAACTAGATGTACAAATTTAGCGTGACTGGAAAAAAAGGTACTATGCTACAAATAAGGAGTAATCCTTATTATAATTCCTTATTGCGTTGTTGACTTAGAGACTTTTATAAAAGTACCTTACACTCATTCAGTTATCTCCTAATATCCACCTAGAAGGAAGCATAGGCTCTTCCTTAATATGTATTAGTTGTTCTCTCACAGAAGAGCGTTGAGTTCCTGATTCATCTAAATAATATAAAACAGGCATTGAAGGATTCTTTCCAACAACAATTCTTCAGATTTTATGTAGGCTAAAGGATCATATCGGATCTGTTATCCTGCATCATTTGAAAGGATCATTTTCCCATTCTCCCTTAACAAGTAAGAATTGGACAGTAGTACCCTTTAGTAATTGAGGTTCGTTAATGCCTATTGGGCGATTATATTTTACCGATGGTTTGGAATACACTCTTTCAAGTTTCATAGCATTATTAGAACTCATTCCAATTAATTGAGTAGAAGTATCATTCATATTATCAATAATCCTTTTTGCAAATCATTTACATTTTCTACAGCGTTCACTAGTAGGCAGGAGAAACTCTACTGAATACTGATTTTTAAAAACTCTTAATTTAAATGTTCTGGCATAATGGTCAATAAAAGCGAAGCTGATATGTCTGAAACGTGCTATAATTCTTCAGATTTCAACACTATGCTTATCCATTAATAAAGTTACATATCTCATAAACTCAGTGCTCTTATCACATTGTAATTTCTGAGGCCAATTGAGAGGATTATCAGAATTATCATATATACTCTTAAATGTTTCTGAACTTCTTCACTGCTCTTTGATGTTAAAAAAATGAAATCTTTATATCTAGTCATGCAGTCTATAACCAATAATACATAGTAAAATATTAGACCATCATCTAGTAAATTTATATTCACATCTTTATCATATGGTATTTCGATCAAATCACATTAGTATACAGAATTTGGCTTCGTGATTTTAGAGTAACTAGCATAAGGTATATATTTTGGTGAAAAACGAAAAATTTGATACATTGCCTGCCTATCAAGCCATTTTTTTACATCAGTAAATAGGATGGTATGCCCAGTTTTTTATATGCATTCCATAATCTATTAATATTTTGATAAAGACCTTCAGATTGGTAATAAAGCTTTTGTAAGGCAAGATTTCGGTCAAGATCATGTGCTTTTTGAGGATCAATATAAATCAAGGGTTTTTCCATTCTGAATCTCTTTTATAATAATGAAAAAAAAGAATAACATTTCACAGACCTAATCCAAGGCAGAGAAGAACATGAGAAGAGTATAAAGCTGAGTTGGAGAAGGATAACTATCATCTTCGAGATGCATTACAGATAGAGGTAGATAATAATCGCCTGAATGAGAAATGGTTTAATCAACTGGAGCGTGAATATAGCTGATGTGAGCAGGAAATCCAAGATCTCAATAAAGACATAGAGCATCTTGAGAATACTTCAAATAAGGAGATAGCAGAGTTAAAATCTGAAATCTCCAGTCTAAAAAGTCAGCTATATCAAGCTAAGAAGGATGTGCAAAATAAGGAACAATATATCTCTACCTTAGAAGAGCGATTGGTAAAATCTAAGGAACAGGTAGAAAAATTGAGATGCTGGATCAAGGTCATTTTATCACGAAAAAATTTACCAGTATGAGGGAATTCTCCTGATCAATATAATTCTGATGATAATATGGCTACAATCACAAAGCTAGCAAACGCTATAGATAGTTATCTAGATAATCTAACAATAGATAAAGAAATCTTGGCCAGTCAAATAAAAAGGACAACAAGATAGATTTGTCAAAAAGAAAATAATTTGCATCAGGACTTAGCTCGTGAGCAACAGAGATGATATAATGCTGAGGCTAAAAGGGATAATGAAATAATATGAAGAAATCTTGCTAAAGGAGTAGAACAAAGAGTTATTGGTAACCTTTAAAAGTTGCGGATTAATGCTCAGAATCTGGCGAATAGAAAGCAAACCCATATTGGTGAATTATTACGAGAAAAGATAGCCTTTCGGCTAATAAATCAAAGGCGTAAAACTGAGGCTGACTTAGCAAAATTCAACTGAACCTGGGTATTTAATCAGTATCAAAAATGGAAGGCTCGGAAAATAATCTCTCGTCAGAATATTTTTAATTTACAGGAACAAATTTCAGCATTACAGAATAATCCACAAAATCAAATAAATATGGCAGGAATCCCACAACCATTTTTTGACTAGAATGATAGTATTCCAGATTTTTTAGTAAAACTTAGATTATATTTGCAAAATCAAGATGTAAATCCAGCAGATAATGTGGGAGGTCCACCTACAGGAAGAGAAGTAGCTATAGGATATTTGAAAGGATGTATGAGAGGAAGAGCCTTAGAATGGTTTGACGAAGAAATTACTACAAAACAGAATTGGAAATTAGCAAACTTATTTGATAATACAGGGCAGAATAACTTAGTAGCAGTAAACGGGTGAACAGCTGTTCAGATAGGAAATCAAGCAATAAATGAAGCTTTTGGTCAACCAGGAACTGTAATAATCAAATTGAGAGTTGTAGAATGCCTTTGGGATGAAGACTGGCATATAGCAGGTGGTTGTCCTACTAATCTTGCTGTAAATGCACCAAATGCTAATAATAGTACTACAGTAGTTGTAGCTGGTATTCAATTTAGTCAAGCTATAGGGTGGCTGAAAACTCATTTCCCTATTATAGAAGAAGAACTTCGGGATTTGATGTATGGAACAACAGAAAGGGAGACATGATTATAGATGAATTATATAGAAAAATATTACAAATAGGTAGACTAGCTAACTATAGACCTGAAGAATTACGTAGGAAGTTTTTAGATGTCCTTTCACTTCCATAGCTTGAAAAAGCTGAGGATATTGGTGAACATTTGCCATTAGACAAATTAGCTAAAAAACTTTATGAGATAGAATTACGCTGAATAGCTAAACATAAAAGAGATAAAATATCAGATCCACTAATATCTAATCGAATATCTCAGCAAATATATGAATCTTCACCTGTTTCAGCCTCACAACAGCAAGGAATTTCTTTAGAAGATATGCAAAAAGCAATTCAAAACGCACTAACACAGCAAAAAACTGAATACTAGTCTTTATTAGAAAAGCAAAAATTCAATTTTCAATTGCAAATGGCTCAGCAAGTAACTACCCTACAAACTGTTGAACTAATTAGACAGCCGAAAGTTCTACCATCTACATTGAAAATAGAGGAAGGTCTTAAGAATTATTATGTAGCCGAATACTTAAAAGAAGTATGTCTACCTAATAAGGAAGATTTAGACTCTGATTATCCTGTAAAGCCTTTTCAAAAACCTCGTTTACAGCGAAACAATAATTCTGATAGGATTGAAGAAGGACTTGAGAAAACTCGAAATAATGTAAATCAGTTAACTGATTTATTTCAGAAAAAAACATACATACAAAAATATGAAATTTGTGGGAAAACCGGTCATAGCAAAGGAAGTTATCCAAATAGACAGATAGCTCAATTTAATTTCACTTGGTCTTATTTTACACCTCTTAAACCAATAGTTCTTCCTGATTCAGATGGTAAGGAAAATGATGGGGATGGTTATGACAATGTAGATAATAATTGGCATTATGCATCAGAAAAAAAAACATGTATCAGTAAATGATAAGTTGGCTGGTGATACTAATGCAATCAGACCCCTAGAAACTAGCCAATCTGAAACGTATGATCAGCTATTGTCTAAGCTCTCACCACCAATACAAAAAATGTGCTTGTCTTGAAAGGCTCAGGAGGAGAAATCAAAAGAATCAGATAAGTGGTTGTTATCTTTACAATATCTGAATGCTAATAAAAATGACTTAACTATTTCTGAATCTTTTTTAGATACCGGCAGTGAGTTAGGTGGTTTAAATAATCCAGCAATCAAGACACTTAGATGGAAAGCTGATAAACCAACTAATTTTGCCATAAAGGGTAATTTCAAGCATATCACTGATTCATTAGGATGGTTTACAGATGTACCAGTTATCTTAAAGGATAAAGAAAGTAAGACAGTCACAGTTAGTGGAAATTTTGTTCGTATTAATAATGGTGAAACAGAACCAATGCTATTTTTTGGTATGTCAAATATTTGAAAGGTTCAAGGCGTTTCTGAGCCAAATAAAAACCAGTTTCACATAAAGTTACATGGAAAGGCATATATTATCCCAACCTTTAGCAAGGCTCCGGTAGTCAAAGATCCACCAAAAAAGGATCAGGAATCATCATACGAATCATCTCTTGGCTCTCAGGTTTTAGCTAATTTTTCTAATCCGACTAGTGAGAAAGACTTAAAAAAAAGTGTGAAGAACTTGAAAAGCACTTTATAAAAACTGAAGAAATGCTCTATTCAGCCTTAAGTACTTGCTGATATATGGGAGGCAATTAGTAGAAAAGGGGAAAATCCAAAATTTTTGTTAATTTTTATTATTAAGTCAAATTTGTGCATATGATTGAGATTGGCCAAGTGGTCTAATAATATAAATTTTGATCAAAATTTAGATTTCCACCTTTTCTACTAACTGCCTTCCATATGTGAATCCTTATATAAGGGGAGTGGTATGAGCTGTTAAACCCTTAAGCTTTTCACCACAATTAACTAGATTTTTAAGAAGAGATTCTGCCCTATCTTCTCGGGATGTATCAGACGAATTATCAGAGAAAGAGATACATTATTTTTGTTATTTTTTTCCATTATACTGGTTGCTTCAGTAACCGGCTTCTTATCTATTTTAACCTTTTTTTTCGATCATTCTTTTTTGAAATCTCTGTAGCCGGAAGGGATATAGATGATACTTTTAATATTACTTCAAGAGTCTGTTGTCTTATCCAAAGCAAGCTGATCGGAGGAAGATAAAATAAGCCCTTGTTGGAGACACTCACTATTATTTCATATTTCATAAACATGCTGAGCACCAATATGGAATTTTTCAGCTATTTTATTGATGCATTAGATATCTTACCTCTTGACTTTCTAATATCTTTAATATCAGATTCTGACAACTGAGTTGCATTGGATCGGTAAAATTTTTCATAGAGATGGGTGACCATTTTTTTAGTCAGAATATATATGCAAAAAAAACTACCAATAATTTTTTCAATACTTTTCAATGTGTATCAATATTTCTGATGATTCAATACATATCAGTACCTTTCAATATGAGTCAGTGCTTTTTAATACATATCAGTGTTCTTCAATACATATTGGTGTCCTTCAATACATATCAGTGTCTTTCAATATGAGTCAGTGCTTTTTAATACATATTAGTAGTGATACCTGACGAAATTACCTTTCTTAATATGATGAAATTGACAAAACCGAAATGACGAAACTAGTTTTTTTATTAATGATGAAATTATTTTACTTAATTTCCAAAATTATATTTAACTTGATCTAAATTCCTTGAATTAAAATACATTAAAAAATATAATAATTTTATATTTATTCATATAAAAATATTAAAGAGACGAAATTTTTGATGAAATTACAATTTTTCAAAAAAGAGTTTAGTCAGATATCACTACATATTGGTGTCCTTCAATACATATCAGTACCCTTCAATACATATTAGTATTCTCTTTCAATACGTATCAATAAGTATGAATAAGTGCCAGTGTCTTTCAGTACATATTAGTGCTCTTTTTTCAATAAATATCAATAGGTATTAGATTTGCCAAAAAAAATAATCCACTTTCTTATAAGTTTAAGGCCCCTGGTTGAATTTTTTTTTGTCTAAAGTAAAAAAAATACCAATAAAATGCCCCAGATCCATACCTTAAAAGATCTGGATAATGGTAATAAACTTGGAAATTCTCTAGCTAATTATTATCTCCCTAGCCAAACAGAACTTGAAGAGCAACTTTCTTGCACAAAAAAGACTGTAAAGTTGCTATGTATTGGAGGAATCAGTTTGCAGATAGTTATGATATCTTAGATAGAGAAATAAACGCATACAGGATGATATTAATCAATCAAAAAAAGAAAGTAAGCGCATACAGGATGATCTTAATAAATCTAAAAAAGAAAAAGAGAAACTTTCCAATCGGATACATCAGCTCGGGAAAGAGATAATACAGTTACAATCAGAGATAAATAATCCTAAGTTTAGAGATGAGATAAGACAGTTACACTCGGAGATAAATAATCTCAAGCTCCAAATCACTCGTAAGGATATTTCTCTTGCAGATGCTGAGAACAAATTCACTATAAATCAGAAGAGATGCAAGCCCTCCAATCCAAGATGACAGAAGAGATACAGACTCTCCAATCTAAGGTGGAGGAATTAGAATAGGATATTTCTTTAGCACAAGAGAACTTATCAGAAATGGACTCTTTCAAGCTTAAATTCGAACTAGAAAAAGTTGAACTATCTAATAAAAATATTGGTTTATTTTTAGCGAAGGAAGAATTAAAAGATTTACTGGCTGAAAAAAAGAATGAATTACTTCAAATAAAGGATGATTTAGTTTCAGTGCAAAAGACATTGATGGAGAAAGAGTTTCTTCTTCTAGAAGCGGAGTCGAGCTAGCTCGAGAAATCATTAGCTAATACTCATTTAGTAGAGCAGATTTCAAAAATATCTAGCGACTCTAAGCATAATGAGATGAGTGGAAGTGTTAGTAGACTGAAGAAAGATAATGACATAACTAGTCTTGAAATAACCTCAGTATCACCTAATTCCTTCCTTTTTCAGCATGCAATCATCTTCATCATAGTATTACTAATCATATACATCTTATGATACGTATTCTCTCATCTATATTCGAATGAAGAAAAAAAAATATTCTGAACTATAAAATACCCTTAAATAGAAATCAAAGTTATACATTCCCAATCTACAATGCAGAAGAACCAAAAAACAGGACTACTTTCTATGAAACCTTTTCTTATAGATATGGATGAGATCACTAAGCATACGTCATCTCAAGCGAAAGGCTATAAAGCGAGTTCTGACTGCCCTTTTAGTATAGTGGTCACAGGGATAAGTGGAGTAGATAAGACTAATATTTTGGCAAATCTTTTTCTTGATGATATACCTGATTGTATATATAAAGGTAAAAAAGGCGGATCTAGATATATTGCATGTGATGATTTGATAGTTTGTGATTACCATTCTGATGAACTAAAATGTGCATTCGTAAGATATATGTATAGCATAATTTCAAAAGACCCAAAAGCGCTTTACTATGAAAATATTACTTTCAAATACATCTCATCTGAAAAAATTCCCAGTACAAGAGCATTTTCGCTTGAGAGAAACACAGCAATTATTTTTGAGGATTTATGTCTTGCTTCAAAGCATGTACAGAAACAAATCAGCCAATTTTTTGGAAATGGTCGACATCAGAATATTTCATGCTTATATATAACACAGAAATATCATAAAATAGATATGTTTATGCATGAAAATGCTAATTACTTAGTACTTTTTAATTCTGGTAGCTTGTATGAAGATATCTCCAAAATTATTAGACGTTATACTGATAATGTAAAAAATGCATCAATGGTCATTAATAGCTATCTTCGCAAAAAGGGTGAATTTGTTGTATTTGATCTCACTAGGCCAGAGGATGATCCTCTTGCAATCCGCCTAAGGTTTGACACTCCACTAAACTTGCAAAAAGAGATAGAGGTGAGGTAGAAGCGCAAGGAAAAAAGTAGTTAAGCTAATTAATGCAAAGTGCCTCTCGGCTAATTTTCCTCCAAAAATGATGATATTATTTTTATTATATTTGATCTCATGTGGATAAATATATATATCTCGTTATAAGTGCTAAGACAAATATACACTCCTTTGGTAAAGACATTCAGGAGATAGCCTATCTTAATTTTTTTTTAACTATAGTGAGAAAAAAGGCATGTATATAATAAAAATTCTTCGCAGTTAGGGCTATAATCATTGTAAAAACATAGAACAAATATGGTAATTCTGATGTCTATTAATTTGCTGATCTCAATTCTATAAGTCTAGCATTTTCTTGCCTAATTGAGTTAAGCTCAGATTCCATTTTCATAAATATTTCTATGCACTGTATCAAAATGAGCATTCAAATTTTATTATCTAATATATGCTACACACATAAATAAATATTTGCGAAATCGACTGCAAGGGTTACTTTATTGATACAGAAAAAATAAAAATACATGATAAATTTACTATATATATAATCCTATCTATTCGAAATCTACATTTAAACTGCCTTTATTTCTTTTAGATCTAACTGAGGGTGCGTTAAGTAGTAAAGACATATTAACTATGAGAATATTTTATAAAATCAGTAAAGTCTTTACAAAATTTGTTACAAGAGATGAATCAAATGGTTGTACAGGAATTTCTGCTTCGTAAAGATGATAATAATGATAGATATTTTTCATATCTCTAATGAGAACATTTAAGTGTATTATTCGTCTGACAACTTGCATTCCAATAATTTTGAATTCACCCTTATCTGGCCCAGATGATTTATAAATCCAATACATTTCATAATTAGCCTCACACTATAATTTTATTTCATCATCTATTTCCTTCTGTGATGTGCAAAACAGGCATGAACTTTTAACATATATGAGCTCGTATTTTTTTCTATCATGCTTCATTACAAACATAATATCTGGCTGTCTTTCTGTTTGCCCTTCACCTTTTCTATCTGCACTAGCTGAACTTTGGCATTCAGCACTAATAGAAGAAGAACATTAGTGACGGTTTAAGTTTTCAAAATATCACTTTTATTAATTATATTATAACTCACGTGCTGATATAAGATGACTTCCCTAAAGGAAAACCTTTTAATATAGCCTGAATAGCATGTACAATTACGTTTGTCACATAAGTACCTTCATTTTGTGATTTCGCAAACTCAGAACTAAATGTATGATTATTCCATAAATTATTTAGAGAACCCAAAATTCTTGATGTGACCCTCATCTGATTCTTTTCACTTCCTATTATGCGAAAGTTTTTGTGGTAAAATGTTCATATCACTCTCAATAAAGCTAATTACAAATTCTTCACATTTTTCCCGTATAATTTGTGGAAGTAATGAAAGAACCATATCCTCTACTGGTTTCTAATAATAGCATAAATTAAGTGATGTTGAGATCAAAAATATCAGCTGAGCCAGAGGGGTTCTTTGAACCAGACGCTTCGCATATGACTGTATAATAAAAAAGAAGAATTTACCATAAAAGATTCCTTTAACCATTCTGATAATTTTTCCATCAGATCTGAGTCATCACTAATCACTTGGTTGGCTAGAGGGTCCTTCCAGGTTAACTCAGAAATAGACACCTCATTTACACCCGAAAACAAATAGTGGTAAAGCTGTGATGTGTTTTTTCTAAGTTTGCCCTTTAGCGTCTTGATATTTTTTCCAATTTTATCTGAACTAAAAGGCCTTTCTCCATTCGTCTTTACCGCATTGATGTTACGTAAACTACAAACTGTTTTAAAATCAATTTCAAACTAACACAGATATACAATTAATTAATTCTGGATATATATATATATAATTATCAAAATCGCATGTGCTGTCAGATTAAAATAAAGCCCTATTCTCGCATGGTTAGCCACTCCAACACTCAAATAAAGACTTTATGTGATACTAAAATAACCACATTGAATGAAGCATATACTATAGCCTAAACTACCCTTCACACTGCTGAGGAAAAAATCCTGTGAGTGGACTAATAGGATATTTAGACTATTATACTCTCTTTCTCAGAACGGTATCAGTCTGCGTTATTTATCACTCAAATAAATTCTCTTTTTACTTTCTTTAGAAATATTTTACTTCTGGTAAAATTTTGAGAAGAATAGTATGACGTAAGAAACCTCAATCATATTGATTCTTTACAAATGCAACAGCCCGCTCAATAACACTTTTCAGCTCATTTTGAGATATCTAAGGATTGTCTTCGATCCCTTGATAAATAACAGACCCAGCAGTAATAATATCCTCTTCCTCAGCATTTAACAAGAAATTGTAAATTTTAGTGTATAAATTGGCAGGCATGGTAAAAATAAAAGAAGTTATAATAGTCATCACTTCAA